GAAGGAAGGAAGGAAGGAAGGAAGGAAGGAAGGAAGGAAGGAAGGAAGGAAGAGAAAACAGAAAATAAGAGGAAAGCTGGGTGGTAACATACACCTTTAATCCCAGAACATGGGAGGTCTAGCCTAGACCGGGCTACATAGTGAATACCAGGCTGGTATCCACTAAAGGCTACATTGTGATATCTTGTTTAAAAATAAGCAATAATAGAAGATCATAGTGAAAGGACTCTGGCCAGTGTGGTGAGCATGGCTCTGGCAGGCCTTTCCCTTCCCCCATTCCTTCTACCTTGCTAAAGATCTTCAGACTACATTCTTAAAGCTAGCTACCGGGGTCTATTCCCTATTTTGGCCATTTGCTCCTCCTGAATGACCAACTACCAAGGTCCAGCTATCAATGTATTGAAGCCCAACAATCAAAAGCCCCCTTTGGCTCACCTAATTAACATGCCCAATTAAAATTAAACACCTCATCCTAACATGGGGTTTCTCCTTTTACCTTTATAAACTCATTTGTCTATGGGTCATGTCTGTCTCCCTTCTATGCAGAAGTATCGAGGTTTTGGGAGGTCCAGGTCCTCAAAAGCCCCCTCCCAGGGCCTAGGAAGAATCTACAACCAGCTGATAATCTAATCTTTGTTGATATTAAATGACTCTATGCACACAAAATTCTTTAGTCCATACACTTTATTCTTCTGAGTTAGTTCTCACTTAACTCCTTTCTTGCCTGATCTTCTCTACAGCTTTCTGCTATTCTCTCTATGTGCTATCTGAATTTCTTCATCTTAGTTCTGTCTCATCTTGGTCTTTCTCATTTGTCTAGTTCATTCCCATCTAGCTCCTCACCCATCACCTTCTCCCTCATCTTGTGCTTCCCCATCTGGCTCTTCCTCATCTTCCATCTCATTCCTCTAGTACTCTCTTCTAGCCCTTTAATCTAGTTCTTCTCTAATCTAGTTCCCTTCTATCTAGTTCTTCCCTATCTCAGTTCATTCCTCTCCAGTTCTCACCCATCTCCATTCTCTTTGTTCTTCTCTGCCCTTGCTCTGAAAATAAAACTGCCTTTTATCCCTTTGGCCTTTATCTCTCCAAACTATCTTTGCTCCCACAGTTTCTGGCAAGGCAGAAGTGTGCTCGGTCACTAGGCAACTTGGCTAGGCAACTTGCACTACAGCTAGATGTACCTGTAAGTAGGAACACTTTAGTTCTGAGTTAATTGTTAAGGGTGGATCTAAAACTAGAGATAAGACTTTGGAAAGGAGAAAGTTAAGCTTAATTAGCACATCCACCAGGCCTTCTCAAACAGATAGTCTGGATGCTTAAGTCTGTTCTTAGAGAGTATAGAGGTATCTCTGATAAGATACTTTGTCTGTCTGGGGATGGACCTGGCCAGATGCTGCTAATGATGATAATTACAGAAAGGTCTGAAATTATGGATTCTGGCTGCATTACTACACAAAAGGATATCTAAGTATTCCTTTAGTAGAGGGGAAATGGTGCCCAATCAATGATGGAAAAGCTACAATAGCACAGGAGAAAATCATAGCAGGAAATGGCTGATAATCAAAAGCCAATATCACCAAGGCTCCTTGAGCCTCAGCTTGACCTCTGGAAGGCCCTTGGCTTCTTCCATGTATTAGCTTGTCATAATCAGCTGAAATCCTACTTCATATTGTTGCAGCTTGTGGCACAGAGGCAGTCCTGTGTCCTCTGGAACAAGTGTCCCTTCCCCCTCTCCCTTGTCCCTTCCCCTTCTCACTCATCCTCTGTTTCCTATCTTTGTCTCTTACTCTTGCCCTTTGTCATTCTGGGGCAAATAAATCTCTTTTGTGCTGAGAATTTGGTCTTGGGGTGTCCTGGGCTGGATACTTTTCTTTTCAGATGTAGCTTTAGGACTGTGAGTACTGGTTTCACAGGCTGCTTTCCCACCTACTATGTTTTTAATGTTTTCAGAAGGCAAAGACAGAAAAATGAAAGCAGTGAACAAATCAGAATTGCTATTCCTCACAAGGCTTCATCAGCTTCACACCCGAGATAATAATGTCCATGCAAATAGTTTATAGACGGTTAGTATCACTGATCCTGACACTGTAGCATGAATAAAAATGGATTGTTGTGATGAATTATGATGGATACTGAGAAGGCATAAACCAAAAAGACACATCTGTCAGTTTACTTAGAACACAGCTATTTTGAAGACAACAAAACCAATCCATCATTAAAAAGACCTATGTTCCTCTTTGTGAGTAATAATTGTGTTGCCATCTATTTCTTAAAGGAAGGCAGACACTTAAACAGGCAATACAAATGTCTGGACTTGGAGATGTTTAGAAGCTTTATACTCCAGATGCTAAAGTACAACTGTAAAGAACTTGGCTTTGAATAATTTTGCTGTGCTCTAAGCTCTAATTTTTTCAACAGAAATTAAACACCAGTTCCCAGGCATAATCAGCCAATGACCTATTAGAGTTCATGGAGATCTCCATCCCACTGCAAATACAAAAGGACCCCACAGAGGATGGGAGCAACTCAGCAGATCCCAGCCCTTCCCAGCCCCCCCACCCCAGCATTCCCTATACCTGGGATCAACTTCAGTGCATTCTCCAGGTACTGGTCCTCTGTGATGTCTTCTCCATTTAACTTCAGCCGCAGCATGAAATCCCGAACAGTCCAGATGAAGTCTGGAAAGAAACTCACAAACTCTGAAGAATTCTTTATTCCATCAGGATTTGGGGAAGACTTTGCCCTGATCAGCTCGGTGAGTTCTGTGACATAACTGGCATTCAGTTAAGGAAAAGTGAATTCATACACACATTCTCATGATTCTCTTATTAAAAATAAACCACAACAAAATTCTTTTCTTCCACAGGTCTCCTGTGCCCCACCAAAAGCCGCACAGCAACAGGGCAGGTCAGTGCCTCCATATGCATTCCGGAACACTCAATGAAACATGGCAGCTCAGGTCCTGCAAGGATACTGCAGCTGCTCCAGGGCCTGGTGGTTGATGGTGTTCATGCTGTTGTAGACGAAGGTGCTGCTCAGAAGCACAGCCAGAGCGAAGATCCAGGAGTCATTCTTAGGGTCACCCTGGAAGACACATGAGGGCAGAGGGCTGAGGAGAGCACTCCTCAGGAGTCTATCTGGACTGGCCCTGTGGTCTTGTTATCCCAAGAAAATTGAAAGCCAAAGCAGGGGCAGCAAGAGTGCTTTTTCTGCCTAGAGGAAGAATCCAAGGTTGGCCTAGAAACTTAGTGAACCCATATTGCTCTGCAGAGAACAGAGCTCTAAGTGGAGCAAGGACCTTGGTGTAAAAATAAGACAACCTGAATCACATAGAAGAGAGGGCAGGGAATAGGCTTGATGTCATTTGCTCAGGAAAAGACTTTCTGACAGGAAGCAGATCCCATAGACTCTAAGAACAATCAATAAATGGGATCTCATGAATAGGAAAAAGTCTCTAAGTTACATATCTGCCAGATTGTCAGTATTCAGAATATATAAAGAACTAAAAACAAAAACAAAAACTGAACATCAAGAAAACAGCCTGATTTAAAATTTGGATGGAGAACTAAACAGAGAGCTCTCGAACAGTGAAACACAAAAGGCTAAGAAACACCTAAAAAAAGGTTCAGCATTCTCAGCCACTGGGGAACTGCAATTAAAACTGCTTTCTGATTTTGTCCTATGGTAGTCAGAATGGACAAGGGCAATAGAACAAACAATAGCACATGCCTTTAAGTACTGGTACACATAAGATCTTACATGACAGCATGCACAAGACCTGCACAGGTTCAGAGTAGACAAGGTCCCTGCCGAGAAGAGAAACAGACAAAGTCCTAACAGAACATTAGTTTTAAAAATATGATTGTTGCTTCACAGATGGCTTCAAAGTACTTACAAATGTGCCAATGACATCTTTATAACGAAAAATCCTAAAATTCACATGAAGTCACAAAATACCCTCTTTAACCAGATTAATTTTAAGCAAGAACAGCAGAACACATTTGTACCTAGAGTTTTCCTGGTCCTGCCTGCCCACAGTCAGGAAAAATCTCTCTTACCCTCCAATCCTGCAGCTGCTCAGACCCAACCAAATAAACACACAGAGCATATATTTTTTATAAACTGAATGGCCATGGCAGGCTTTTTGTTAACTGTTCTTATATCTTAAATCAATCCATTTTTATTAATCTATAAGTTGCCACGTGGTTTGTGGCTTACCGGTATCTTAACATCTGTTTCTCATCATGGCGGCTGGCAGTGTCTCCTGACTCAACCTTCCTGTTCCCAGGATTTTCTTTTCTCTTTGTCCCACCTATACTTCCTGCCTGGCTACTGGCCAATCAGTATTTTATATATTAACCAATCAGAGCAACACATTTAACATACAGAACATCCCACAGTACACATCTTGATTTGAAACCAATTACTAGGTGATAGTAATCAGAACAGTACGGTTTATTCAAAACCCTTTTCCAAAGTACGGTTAACAGATACCATAAGAAGACAAAAGGAGGTGACATGGTGTAACATGAATCTAAAAGGTCCTATTAATTAAAAAAACTCAGAGCCAGATATTGGGATGAATGCTGAAAGATCAGAGAGACAGAACAAGCCAGCTACAAGTTCTTACCTCTATGAAATCCTCAGCCTCAAGAACATGGGTTCCTGTTTCCTCACACCCTATATACCTTTCTGTGTCCTGTCATCTTACTTCCTGGGATTAAAGGTGTGTGTGCTTCCCAAACAAAGGCATGAGATCTCAAGTGTTGGGATTAAAGGTATGTGCCACCATGCCTGGCTCTGTTCCCAATATGGCCTTGAACTCAAAGAGGAAATGCTGAGGAATGTCTTTCTGTATGCTGTGAATGTACATTGTCCCTATTGATTAATAAATAAGATGCTTTGGCCTATGGCAAGGCAGCTTAGAGGTAGGCAGGAGAGAAGAGAGACAGGAAAGAGAAAGACAGAGTCTAGGAAGACACAAGCCAGCTGCCCAATGAGCAACATATAAAGGGTTATGCCATGTTTCAAGGAAAGCCATGAAACATGTGGTAAAACATAGATAAATAAAAATGGGTTAAGCTATAAGAGCTTGCTGGTGAGAAGCTTGAGCCATATGCCATCCAGATTACAAATAATATAAGCCTTTGTGTGTTTACTTGGGGCTAAGCAGCTGTGGACTGCAGGACCAGGCAAGACTGGAGAAAACTCCCAGATACATTTGGCTGCCCAATGTGTTGGCTCGACTTTCTACCTAAAACTTGAGAGAACTTAAAAAGAAGTTCTAAAATTGAGCTAAGAACAGCTTTCTACTTCATGTCTCATGTGGGCTGAGATATAGAGACACCAAAGCACAGAGACACCAGATCTCTGTCTTCCAAATGATAGGATTAAGGGTGTGTGCCACCACTGTCTGGTCTCTATGTCTAATCTAGTGGCTGGTTCAGTCCTCTGATCCCCAGATAAGTTTTAGTGGGGTGCACAATATATAACCACACAATGGACAGTGTCAGTCTCAGAATATCATGGTGAATCCCATTAACTTATATAATTAACCTGTGTCAATGAGTATCCTTAAAGTATGATAATAACAAAACAAGTATATAAACCAATGGGACAGAGTAAGAGGCTCAAACTGATTCCATGAATTAACTATCAATTGATCATTTACAAGGCTGTCAAGAACACACAAGCAGGAAGACGATGTCTTCAAGAAATAGTGCTGGGGAAACAGGGCATCCACATGCGGAAAAGTAGAATTAGATCCTATGCACACTATACACAAAAGTCAGCCAATGATACAGAGTCAAGTGCGAAGATGTGAAACTGGATAGAGATCCCACCAGTGTGCATGTGCAAAGGCAATCAGACCAGCATAGGAAGGAATAGTGCAGGGTTCAACGCCAAGGCAGGGGCTCAAGCTGGAGGGATGGATGGACAAAGAAAACATGCTACACGTTTGCAATGGACTCTGATAGACATACAAAAAAGAAATCCTGTGATATAAACGTGTAGATGAACATGGTATAGATTTAGGAAAGTGGAATGACCAGGCATAGAAAGACAAACACCATGAAGATCCCATGCACATACAAATCTTAAAAAGTTGAATGGAAATAGCAGAATGCTGGTTACCAGTTCTGGAGGAGGGGATACTCTAGAAGAGATTGGACAAAATTCATGGAATTTCAGTTACTAAAGAAATGAACAGAAAGCATAAAACCATGAGAAGAAAAAATAGTTTCTAAACATGAATCTGGACAATGGCATTTTTAGCTATGACACAAAAAGTACAGGAAACAAAAATCAAAATTAGACAAGTAGGGCAGAATCCAACTCAAAAACTCCTTACCAGAAGAAGAAATAACCAAGAAAAAATACAAAACAGAATGGGAGATCAATGTTTGCAAACCATATATTTTCTAGGAGATATTCAAAAAATATAAAAACATCATGCAACTCAACAGAAAAACAAATAAAATACCCAATTAAATATGAGAAAGAACTTGAATACATATTTCTAAAAGAAAAGCACACAAGTGGTTAATAAGTTTATGAGCAGATAGTGAACATCTGTTCATAAATCATCAGATAGGGAAGGGTAAGTCAAAATTGAAGTGGAGTATCATCACACGTCTTAGGGTGACCATCAGTGAAAGACAAAAGACAACAAGTTTTGAAGAAGGTAGAGAAAAAATGGACTGTGTGCTATTGGATAGGACATAAATTGTACAAACACTCTGGAGTGCATTAGAATGTTTCCTAAATTAATAAAAATAGAAGCTCTGTGTGATCCACATCTCATTTCTATGCATAAGGAATGGTTAATCT